AACTAAGTGCCAGGAGGGTAATTAATCACTTAAACTATGAACAGTCACTTAGGATAATCTCCTTCAGTTACTTCCTTGTAGTTTAACAGAACAATACAGTAGTGACTTTGGAATGGAGATAAAAAATGCCCTAACCTTTGGAATAGAATGGATAGGATTAAAATCAACTGGAATAAATGCAGATGTAACAGGATAATAAAGACCAAACCTGGCTGGAGAACCTGACTAGAGAACCTGGCTAGGCTGCTGATCGACTGAACTCTGTCTCTGTGTCATTTCTTCTTTACCGACTCTGTCCATGTCTTTGGGAACCTCTGGACCTGCTGGGGTTGGACCCCAACAATTGGCACCCAAACAGGGACCCCTAGGTAAGCCCCCCCACACACACACACTCAGGATGGATAGGACTGCACCATAGGGTGCTGCAGAACACCCTATAGAGGATAAGTAGAGGGTGTATAGTACAGAACTTAGATTGAGAAGATGGGTCATACTGAGTCCAAAGAAAAAAAGACTCTGTATTGATTTTTTAACACATATGCTTGCTAGCAGAGGAGTTAAGGTTATTCCCAGTCAGAGAGAACGTTTTATACAAGAAGTACGTCCATGGCTTCCTGAGGAAGGAACTGTTAATTTAGAAACTTGGACTAAAGTAGGAGAGCAATTAAAGAATTATTACAGCTACCATGGATCTGAGAAGGTCCCGGCAGATACCCTTTCCCTCTGGAATTCAATTCATGACACCTTGGCACCAGAGGCAAAAACGGTTGAACTTTCTCAAACTTTAAATAGTCCCTTGGCTCCACCTAAAAAGGACACATCATTATCGTCTCCAGCTAAATCTAAGAGCAATTTAGCTATGCCTACTGATCAGAAGGAGAATAAATATCATAAACATGACCATTGGTCCTTTCCAGTCAGTAGAGAGGAGAAGAGCCCTCCCATTCAAAACAGACTCCCTAAGTTAGAAAGGAAGCCTAAATCAGGTGCTCCAGCTCCTATGAGCTCCATGTCTAAATTTCAAGGGGTGATAATAGAGGCTGAAGCTAGTGGAGATCTTGAATTCTCACTCTGCTTCCCAGTCATGTATGAGAGTGAGGGGGAAGAAAGCCCCACCTGGGAGTCTGTACCTTACAAAATACTTAAAGAATTAAAATAGGCCTTCTCTGAATATGGACCTCTAGCTCCTTACACACAAACCTTGGTGGAAGACC